TGTCAGATGCTTGTTCCGACAGATGGGACACTATCATCGGGGGTAACTTTAATGTTGCTCTAAACCTGTATAATCATATAACTGTCAACAGAGCCGAGGATGGCCATAGGCAAATTTGTTAAAGTTCTCAAAAAGAGTGAATTATCTTATTCTTGAGATAATAAAAGGCGACACCTTCCTTGGGCAGGCGTCGCCTTTATATACTCCACACACACTACTGCAACTATCAAATATAATTGGTAGCACCAACTTCAAGCCCTGCCTTTTGTAGCATGGCAGGTGCTGGCTATGATTCACACGGATCACGGCTAGCACCCATCACAACAATTTTTTAAGCTTTGCTCTTTGCACGGCCTTGTAGACATTGCCGACCACTTATACCCACATGAACACTACAGCTGCAGCCCTCAAGTGTAATGACAAAAACAGGTAATTACATCACTTACGAAAGCTGGCGGACTTAATCTATGCAAGCACGTGACAAGGCAAAAAGACGCGGAAATGTATATATTGGCAATATATGCAGCACACAAGACATCACGAACGGTAACAACAAGAACAACAAGTCGCAAAAAGAGTACAATAATTATCTTACAGATAGCGTAAAATAGCCACGTAGTTTTTAGAATCCTCATCAACTCAGTACCTGGGATATCTCTTTATTACAAACCCCCTTGACGCAAATTTGATAAGCAGCTTTTCGAATGTTAGTGCTGGGCTGGTGGAGGTAAATGCTTAGATGCAAACCAAGTCTACACCATGTGCAAAGTAACCAATTGACCAACAGCTGAATCGCCTGGTGGCGGCCAGGCTCAGTTGCCATGTTGGCAGATGTGGAGACCCATATCTGGCCATTTCCATATATGACTGCGTAGACGTAAGTGCCAGCCACTACGAGACCCCAGGCCAGCAGCATATTTTGCCTGTTTTGAAGCATGTGTTGAGTGTAGTGAAGAAATATTTGTGTACTTAGTTGATAAAGATAAACCAAACAGCGAGGCTAGTCCTCTACTATTTATAATATAAATATTGTACTCTTCCTTCACTGTGTCGTTTTTATCAGCGTTGCCCAACTTGTCCGTCAATGAATATCATGCCAATATATGTATTCAACATGAACGCCGTTCTTGCCATTTCGTGTCTGCCAACTTCCGCAAGTGTCATGTGATCATGTGGTTATTGTCACCACAGATTGGGACAACTGTGAATGTAAAAGGCACTGAAAGACTGCGTTTTATAGCCTTGGATCCTTGTGAGGATGATAAGGACGACAATTAATCTTAAGTGATGTCGTCGAGGGATGGATCTTCCTCGGAGCTCGCAACAGTGTCAATCGAATTACAAAAGTATTCCCATTTAATCCAATGAGCAGCAAGTAAAAATAAAAATAAAAAGACGTCAGCTGCAGGATTTGAACCTACGCGGGAGAATCCCAACGGCTTTCCTTTGCTTGAAAGTTTTTCAAGGCCGTCGCCTTAACCACTCGGCCAAACTGACATACCCACACTAATTTCCCCAATTTCATTTTTCTATACAAATTATGCATATATATCCCGAATGCTTAGCACACATGCAAAGCATGGCGCGCAGACATTAACCCCTCTACTGCAACGGACGCCGACACCTCCAGCGCCCTGAGCACCACCACTATCTCCGATCCGCCGCCCAATGCAAGGGACCCCGTGGGATAACAACTCTTACAGTTATTCACTTAACTTTTTCTCGTGATTTGCCGTGTTATCCTATTAAACTCGCGCTTAAATGTTGCGCCAAAAAAGCGCGCAGACATTAGTTAGAGAGAAGTGAGGAGGCATTGACGAGGCTATCCAAAGCCCACTGGCTACAGCTGCCAAAGATACCCCATTAAGCCCAAGCATTTCTCTCTGTTATGGCTCGTGACACATGCTGCACAACTCTATTGTTTTATCCCTGGGCCTGGACAAACTGGCTTTCAAAGATTTGAGGCCAATCTGTCTTGTTGTTTAGTAAGCACATACCCTGAATGCTTTGCGTAAATGCAAACCCTGGCATGCGGAAATTGTCTGTGATGCAAGTAAGCTCAATTTTCAAGAAACAATAAATCACACTCCAAAAGCTGGCTGCAGCATGTATTAATTAAAATTTTTAATCTCCTTTGTGGAAAGCAATTCATTTAATTTAATATATTAAAAACATTTTGCAAGACTTGTCCCACCCAATATCGTCCTTTGTTTTCTTTCAAACCCCACACCAAGGGCAGTTTTGGGGAGGGGAAGAATAAACGGCACCCTGCAAAACAAAATTAAGTGAGTGCTATAAAAGCAAAGCATTTTATCCTTTCCTCGTTTATATTAGCAATACTGCACACATACTCTAAGCTTGTTAATAATGTCTGAGACCTCCGTAGCCGTGTTTACTCTTGAATTGGCTGGTAGTGATTTTCATCTAAAGAGCAAGGGGTTTTCAGAAACTGTGCTTGGCAGATTTGTTGACAACATTAATGAGTTTGCAGAAATGGCTAAAGTAGATGCAAACTGCTATTATGCTGTTGACACAGCGGGTGAAACTGAATGCTTCAATAAAGGTAACATTGGGGAAAATTTAATTACAGGTGTTCATGCAATTTATTTTGGCAGTGAAAATGACATTAACATCTTTATTAATGAGATGGCAAGCGCTGCTAGGATTAATTATGCAAGAGAAATGGCTACAATCGAGTATAGATTTATTAACATTATGCATGCTTAGCAGCTGTTAACTCTATAACCTACTTTAATGAAAGTAAAATTCATGTGTTACTAACAATTAAGCAAGAGTATTAGAGTACACATGCAGGCTGTTCTTAATTGCAGTTCCTTGTAGCCATTGTATATGCGCCAATAGTTTAGTAATTCTACTAAATTTACTAGTACACAAATTGTTAGATTATTACTTAGAAAAGGTGTTTATAAAAGAAAGTGCAAAATGTAATAAAACTTGACAAGAAGGAACGAACCAAGTTGCCTAGTTGAGCCAGAAAGGCAGACTTTGTAAATAGCATCCAGATATATCACATGCGTGGGGCAGATCATCTGTGATCATTGGTGGTGGCCCCACGCGGCTTGTCATTAGCATGTCACTTGCTAATGGGGGCTATGAGGGTCTACTCATCCGAAGGCACTTTAACTGGAGGAGTGCTATGCATAAAGTAAGGCAAGGCAGTGGTGTCTTTATTTCCCTGTACTTTCTCATTACAACTGCTGGGCTTCTGTTCGAAGTACTCTCAGTTCTTTAGAAAGGCATGCTTGCACAAGAAGATGGGTGGCCACCCTTATTGATTACGGCTACGTTACTTGGGATATTTCTTTGGGTGCTGGGAGTTGCGCGGAAAAATGGTTGCTATTATTTCCTTGTGTGTCCCCCTTTTGCTGGTATACGCTTGGAGAGTGGAGAGACGATTGAAGATTTGCAGCTTGACTCTTTGTTACATGATCCAACTGGCGCATACTTTATTGATAATGAGCAGGGTAATGTAAGCTGCATTGTGGCCATGTTACTGCAATTTGCCGAGGTCTAGCCCTAGCTCAAAAGCGCCTTTTCTAATTAATTTATTTTAAACGCGTCTTGTTAATTTATTGTAGACTAGTGTCATTAAAAAAGAATAGAGTTGCTGGAATCAATGTAATCTTTTAACGCAGCTTTTAAGCGTGATTTATTTTCAAAGTGATTAAAACCTGAAACCAACTTGGGAAAATTAGGAACCACTACAAAACAACAGTGTCTGATGACCAAAAAATCCAATACCTTTTTGACAATATGCGAGCCGCTTAAAGGAGGGCTAAAGGGTAGCTCTAAGCAACCTCCTCATCGTCACCAGCTCAAGCTGGTTGGTGGTACACACATAGGGAGAACATGCAACTGATAAGATTGTAAGGCAATAGAATAGGGACCTTGACCCACCCAAGTTTCAAACCTGGGGCTTTGGTAATGCCATGACAATCTATCGACGCCTAGTGGAGGAGTGGCTGGTTATCTCACCTTCAATTGAGCTAAAACCGACAACCTCAGACTCGATGTAATCATTGGCATTTAACACATAACTGATTCTATCCATTGGGAGCGGGTAATCATTAATAAACTGGTTTATGTCATCCTCACTGCCAAAATAAACATAATGTTCACCATTAATTAAATTGTTTCCAATGTTATTCCTATTGAAGCTCTCAGTATTATCCTTTGTATCAACAGCATAATAGGTGCCTTGGGTGACATGTGCAATATCTTCCAGATCCGTGATAACCTCGGAAAATGTGCCATTTGGATCTGGTAAATGCCCCATTTCCATGACAATAAAGGGATTCTGCGCAATAAAGTAGACTGTTACGGAATTTGCAGACATTGATAGGTGATAAAATGCTGTTGATGGTGTTTAGTGCTGTGAGCAAATAAAATTGGATTGGAGGCGGGAGAAAACGCTCTGCTTTTATTGCAGTCTCTGCCAAGCAGTACCACCAGTGTTTGGAAGAAAATCTAGCAAAGGCTTCACTGACTTGGCCAAGTCGCAAAGTCTCCACATCACGCGACTGTCTTATTACAATTAGCTTGCCCAAATCTTTCTCCGCATTTTTTGCAGTCTCCAACATAGCCTGACAAGGAATTGATCTAATTAATGTTGACTCATTGGCTCCACTGTGTGCCAAGTATTGTCCTTTGAAAACAAGACAGAAAGGTCAGAGTCCAGAACGGGGATGAACGGGACAGGCTTCTGGCCGTGGCGCTTGCAAATGCCGACAAAGAACTGAATTTCCTCCGAGTGCAACAGCTGGGACTTGGTCGCTGCATATCTCGCCATAAACGACTCCGCAAACCCAGTTGGACTGGTACTCTGAGGCTCAGGGGTAATCAACATTTCGGGCAAGTCAGTATACAGACGACACTCGTCACGGGCAACAGAGTCAAAGGTCAGTCGGTGGTACGACTCGTGGATCCAGCGCTGTTGGTGCTTGACGTATATGAGCTCAACTAGGCGACTGATAACCTCGGAATATGTCATATCCTCCAGGTCTACTACGCGCCCGTCTGCCTTGTGGCCAAACCACGGCCGAAAGTAGTCGCTATTCAAGCGAGCAATAATTTTGTCCTTGCGAGTCAACAACAAGGCAGTGTGCTTCTCGCGAGGCTGGCTAAGAACGCTACTTGTCAGGTCAGTGACTAGAGTTATTGCTCTTGTAATAATGACATGGTTGAGCTCGCCGTACTCGCTGGTAACTGTCGTAACGCCGCCATTGGGACCTTCGTAGGTCCTGTGCCACTCAGCGTTGCTCAAACCAGGAGCAGTGACAATCAGCTCTTTGGCCGCCCGTGACGTGCCAGCCTCCTTGGCAGCCATGACTCGCGACCCAAGCAAAATGCTGTCAAAAGTCATTGGCGCACGGCCAAACACAACGCTCCAGTTGCCAGTGAGGTACGGCAGCGAGCCCTTGACATCGCCAAACCCAGGCCCAGCTACCAGTACAATGTTGCGGCAAGCGCACACCAGGGCGTACGTCTCGAGAATCGGCTGGTGGAAATCCTCAAACAAGTGGTGGCCGCCAGCTCTGCCTCCCGTCCACTGCAAGACAGCTGGAAATTCGTTGTGTGCCTTGACCGTGCTGGCAAAATGGCGGATGGCCTCGGCAGTGCTGGGCTTAAAGACAATATGGCGAATATCGGTAGAGCGCAACGAGTCAATAATAGTCAGCGTTTTCAAGAGAAGGAACTCCTCCGCCAATGCATAGGCCAACGATAGGCACTCCCTTGGCACGCAAGCGTAGCATGGCAGAAAACCGAAAGCTCCACATGTGCTGGTTAGTGTAGATGCAGTTGAGCGTAATCCCCTGCCCAGGCATAAGCAACTTGGCAAGGTTGCCAATCTTGCTCTCCAAATCGCTCTCGGTATAAATGCCACCGCCCAGCTCTACATGGTATCCGGCGCTATTGATTGCTGCGGCAAATTGCTCATTAGCTGTCGTTGGTGTCATTCCAGCAACCATGACTGTCGGCGTTCCCAGCACGTGAGAAACTGGTGTATTGATGCAGAACTCGCCGTCGTTGGCAGTGCGGACAAGCTTGGGGCCAAACTCTGCCAGCCAGTTTGGTGCAGCTGTGATGTCGGCAAAGGCGGTCTTGTACGAGTCGACAATATAAGTAACGTTGGGACACCGAGTGACTTGCGGCCAGTTTACGGGAAGCACAGGGATACTGCGTAGCGAGTACCGAGTCAGATCAGATTCCGAGCAGATGTCGCGGCTATACAATCCATCCTTTCACAACAGCCAAGGCGTAATGGGTCGGCGATAGCTGTCTGTGGTTGAACTTGGCAATGAGCCGCTCTAGCAGTCGTCTAGAAACTCTCTGGACAAAAACAATTGGGCGCGCATCCACACAGCCTCGTCCATTGGCAGCGACATTAAGGTCTTTATGTGCTTTCTGCAAACTTTAAACGTGAATAAAGGGCGAATAATAGAAAATAATAAAAGCGTTTTATTTTTTCTTCACAC